AGGATCACCAGGTGAAAATAAAATAAAGAAAGTCTAAAAAAAGAAAACAAATGCAGCCCATCACATCTAAGAATTGGTAAGCTGCATTATAAAATAAAATGTTTGCTTTTGGTTTTAATACCGCTTTAAGTAAGTAAACATAAGGAGTCATATAGAGTTTAGTTTTGTTACACACATAGTGCTAAGTCTAATGTAGTCCATACCTGATGAAGGTCAACAATGAGATCACATGTAATACCCCATACACACAATAAGAAAATTGTACTAAAAAGTTTGCGAAACCACTGATCAAACAATTTTTCTCTTTGTTGAGGAGCAGGATGTTTTAACCGATAACAATATTGTGAATGAAATAATCCGGTTGAACAACAGTGAAAAAAATGTTGTCGTTTCGTGTACGAACGATCGATTTTCTATGCAGTGGTATGACGGTTGTACGAAAAAAATCTATCAAGCGCTATCACGCATGAGCGGAAACAGAAGATAACCCGGATGTGTATGTCCAAGGAATCTTCGTAAACACGAACAAAAAATCCAAATGTTAAAAGTAGATTGGCCTAATGAGATAATGAAACCAGAATGATGCATATTATATTTTATGTATCACTATTTATGTATATAGATAATGTAATAAACTATATTATACATTGCTGTTAATTGTTGTTTGTGTTGCTGTGTATATCGCTCGTTCTGCCCGTGGAAGGGCGTGGCTACAAGGTCACACGCACACTGCATCACTTCCACTTGTATGGAAGACCTCAACACTACGTATTGCTCGACGAACTATTTTTTTAGATTGGTTAATGTGGGCCACAATTTTGACCAACGAAACGAACGCCTATCGGTCGTTGGATGACCGATCGGGCGATTTTCTAATTGTGTATTCCCACCTTAAGTCATGACTTATGAGGCAACGATTCTCAATTCTTTACTCTAGAGTAGACAAACACGGGTCAGTAACACAAAGGGTATCACTTTTACTAGGGGATACTCCAGCTGGTCAGGAGTTTACTATCACTTAATAACTAAGTTACCTATTAAACTGCATGTTCTGTAACTGGATATCCAAAAGTTGTCAAGAGAAATAACTGGAATCCTTTTTTGAGGGGCAGGGGCGGACTGACAACTCATGGGGCCCCCGGGCAATAGGGGATCATGGGGCCACTGTGTCCTTGCCCAAACTCAAAAAAGCCTATGAAAAAGGTACCAGGGGCATCTCATGGGGCCCCGCTACTGACCCCGGGTTTCCAAATGGTCAGTCTGCCCCTGTTGAGGGTGATACTAAGAGAAAGATAAAAAAAATGATGAGAAGGGAATGCACCATTCTCCGCAAGGCACACTAGTTTTACAATACTATTGTTTTATTACGTGTCAAATGTATGGCTTTATAAAAAAGGGATTTTATGAGGCCATCTATTTAATTTCTTACTCTAGTCCATGATTACTTTGGCATTCATGGCTTTTATTTACATATTTTAAATCTCTTCATAGCACTCTCTTTATTTCTATCCTATTTACCATGACAACTCTGAAACTCCAGTACCACATTACACAAGCATTGAACGCCCACCATTGGATGGCCTGGAGCACGATTTCATCCTGATGACTCAATTAAGGTGTGCACTTATAAAAACTGCATTTGCCATGCTTACTACTAGGTAATGCATAGCCACCCATACAAATGAAAATTCAGTCATCATCCATCTTCATTTCTTTGATGCAGATTTAGGTTGTTCATACAGAAGTGTGTTCTTTATACTTTTTCTTTATCTTGCATACGCAAGAGTGATTTGTGCAGCATGCAAGCTCAGCTTAAAGCTGAACTCTGGTGAGCTTCTAAATAGAGTACGCTGATGTTAGTTTCTTGCTTCTGACTTGCATTTGTGAAGCTGTTTGGAAGGATTTGAAATACAGTGTTTGACTTTTGAGTTGGATCTTATGTAACAGTGCTCAACAATTTGAATGGCAGATGCTTTTACTTAAACCAAAACCCAATGGTGTTAAAGCATCTAGGGAATTTTTGTTGTAATAAACATGCAAACAGGGCAAGAAAGCACACACAGGAAACCTCCTACTAGAGGCCATGCCCTATCACATTTCAGCTCTTACAGGGCCTACCCATATGGAAGAAAAATATATTTTAAATATATTTTAAAAACATTCTTCCCAAATATATTGACATATCGAACCCTTCGTGTATTGTTTTGTTACTGTACTGTCTCATGTTCTGTCCCCCTACTATAATGTACAGCGCTGACCAAACCTTCTGGCGCTTTATAAATACTGCATAATAATAATAACAATAATATATTTGAAATGCTACAATTTTGGCCATATTCAATATATTTAAATAAATTTAAAAAAATTATATATATATATATATATATATATATATATATATATATATATACTGTATCTTGAAATGCATTTTTATTACAAAATATATGAAAAAAAAATACATTTCAAATATACTGTATGTATTTAAAAAATATATATTAAATATAGTAAATAAATATTGGCTTTTGTAAAGTAAAAGCATCTGCCATCCGAATTGTTGTATTTTGTAATAAAAACGCATTTCAACTTACAGTATATATATATATATATATATATTTATTGAAATATATTTTGAAACATATTGAATATGGCCAATATTGTAGAATTTCAAATATATGTCAATATATTTGAGAAGAATATTTTTAAAATATATTTCAAATATATTTTTATTCCATGTGGGTAATCATAGATACATTAGTGTGCAGTATGGAGCGGAGGCGAGCTCCTGGGTTTTGGCACCTGGCTGTACTGTAGGATGGAGGTACGGAGGAGCTTTGTGAGATACTTTGGAGCTGTGGCAACTATTTAGATTGTCTAACAGCTTTTACTTAAAAGTACCTGAAACAAGCTGCATTTGACTTGCTGTGAATACTCAGGGATTCTCACACCTGTGCAGGGTGAGGGGTTCAAGGGTTATCCAATAGAGAGGGAAAACTGGTTTTGCAGTTTTCTTAGGGTTGTGATGTACTCATATGGGTCACAGAACTCAGAGGCTCACAGAGATTTTGGGTGGAAAAGAGACTCCAACCCTGACTTTAAGTACTGTGGTTCTGGAACAGTTAACCTACCTGCGATAGAGGGCTGAAAAGAGGGAAGCAGTCCGCAGGTGCCCCTGAGGCAGCACAGACATGTGAGAAGGAGCTATGTACTATTTGGTCTGGTCTACTGAGACACTGCTAAGCAGTGGTGAGCCATCATTGGACCACTGTAGCAGGTGGGGACTTTAATCCTTGTTATGGGACAAGGTTTTGCTGGCTAAGTTTTTGTTTTACACCTGAGGCTGATGGACTGTTCTGTTTGGTTTCATGCTGAAAGTAAGCTGGTTTTCATTTATCTTTTAAAATATGAAGACTGTTTACTTTTACCAACGTGGCTGGCTGGTGATAAAGACTACCCCCAAATATCACAGGGGACAGAACAAGGAGTGTAGTTTGAGTAAAATAAACAGTTTCACGCATATATCTGACTCTTTTTTTTCTCTTTTCATTCCTATGGACACAGGGGTAAGCCAGTTGGGGAGCAAAGGTGAAGACCAGCTTGGACAGGACACAGATGGTGGTCTGATAAAGTTGGGACAGCCAACGTGGTGCTGGTGAGAAGGGTCTAGCATGCTTCTCGTATGCCATCATCCTATTTGATAAGACCCCTGACAAACCAGGCTTGAAATTACTGGAACCAGAGGGACCCCTCGCATGTGTATATTTCCTGATGTTGCCCATAAGAGGTGTGGAGCTGGAAGGGTGTGACTGGGGTCTTGCACTCACCATCACTAAATGCTTTTGCTGTAGGTCCCCTGCACGGAAACTGGCTGAGCAACTTGCCTTTAGAGAAAGCTAGACACATTATGGTGATATATAGAGATGAGCGAATTATTCAAAAATTCGGTTCGGCTGATTCGCCGAATTCGCCGATTAAATTTTGCTTCGTGCCGAATATATTCGCTGCGAATTTAACTTATAAAAAGGGTGTTTCTAGGCTTCAGAGAGCCTTTATATTAGTGCAGAACACTGTACCTTTAATTTAAATGCCCTTGGAGTCTGCTGGGGAAGAGAAATAATACTGTCAGTCAGTATGACATGCAGATGAGTGCCGTCGATCTTTAGAATCACCGCACACTTCACTCATTTGGGCAGTCACGGGGCCAAAACCAGAGTGTGGAGCCACAGTGTGGCGGTGGAGGCAGCAGCAATGGGAGGCCATACAGCACACTATGACAAAATGGAACCCACCAGCAGTGTGAGGAGACCTGAAAGTGGCACATGGCAGAGTGTGGCGATGGAGACAGCAGCAATGGGAGGCCGTACAGGGACCCATGACACACTCTGGACCTGGCAGCAGCATGAGGAGGCGGTACAGGGGCCCATGACAGATTACGGGCCTGGCAGCAGCATGAGGAGTCGGTACGGGGGCCCATGGCAGATTACGGGCCTGGCAGCAGCATGAGGAGAGGCGGTACAGGGGCCCATGGCAGAGTGGAGGAGCGTAAGCAGCTAAAATTGAAGGCCATACAGAGGCCTATGTTAAAAATTCCCCCCAGCAGCAGCGTGGGGAGACGACTATCAAGAGTCCAATGGCAGAGTGGCGGAGCAGAAGCAGCTTCAATTGAAGGCCATACACAGGCCTAGGTTTAAAAGTCCCTCACAGTTAATTCCAATAACGAACTCTACTCCTCCGTGCAATCTACTTACGAGACCCTGGGCAGGTCTGGGTCCAATTTGTGGTAGAGACTGGTTTTGTTCAGCCATGCTTGAGCGAGTAATAACAGGTCTGTGCTGCCCTTTGGTGTCTGGCTTAATGCGCACAACACTGAACGTCCCAGCGTTTGTCAACGATTTGCCGTTAAGTGATGCAAACCCGCTGAACCACGTTCATGAGGAGCCGGTACAGGGGCCATGAATCAGTATGGACCTGGCAGCAGCGTGAGCAGACGACAGAGGCACATGGCGCAGGGTGGCGGTGTAGGCAGCATTATTCTGAACCCACCCATACACAGGCCTAGGTTAAAAAGCGGAAGCCGTCAGCAGCGTGAGCAGACGACAGAGACACATGGCACAGGGTGGCGGTGGATGCAGCAGTATTCGGAAGCCAAACACAGGCCTCGGTTAAAAAGCGGAAGCCGTCAGCAGCGTGAGCAGACAACAGAGGCACATGGCGCAGGGTGGCGGTGGAGGCAGCAGCAATGGAAGGCCATACAGCACCCTATCACAAAATGGAACCCACCAACAGTGTAAGGAGACCTGAAAGTGGCACATGGCAGAGTCTGGCGATGAAGTCAGCAGCAATGGGAGGCCGTACAGGGACCCATGACACACTTTGGACCTGGCAGCAGCAAGAGGAGGCGGTACAGGGGCCCATGGCAGAGTGGCGAAGCGTAAGCAGCTTAAATTGAAGGCCATACAGAGGCCTATGTTAAAAAGTCCCCCCAGCAGCAGTGTGGGGGGACGACTATATCAAGAGTCCAATGGCATCGTGGAGTGGCAATGGGAGCAGAAGCAGCTTCAATTGAAGGCCATACACAGGCCTAGGTTAAAAAGTCCCCCCAGCAGCAGTGTGGGGAGACGACTATCAAGAGTCCAATGGCAGAGTGGCGGAGCGGAAGCAGCTTCAATTGAAGGCCATACACAGGCCTAGGTTAAAAAGTCCCCCAGCAGCAGTGTGGGGAGACGACTATCAAGAGTCCAATGGCAGAGTGGCGGAGCGGAAGCAGCTTCAATTGAAGGCCATACACAGGCCTAGGTTAAAAAGTCCCCCCAGCAGCAGTGTGGGGAGACGACTATCAAGAGTCCAATGGCTGAGTGGCGATCCGGGAAGTCAGCGTTGTGATTGCAGATGCAATGCAGAAATTCTACGAAGTAATGCCGTGGGTGCGAAGAAGATCATATACCGTCGTACTTCCATCCATAAGACGGAACAACCTGCGAACCGGGAGCTTTATTGCCCTGACCCGCTGAGCAGCTTCTGGGATACCCAAGAGGCCCATGGCAGAGTGGCGGAGCGTCCAAAGCAGCTTCAATTAAAGGCCATACACAGGCCTATGTTAAAAAGTCCCCCCAGCAGCAGCGTGGGGAGACGACTATCAAGAGTCCAATGGCAGAGTGGCGGAGCGGAAGCAGCTTCAATTGAAGGCCAGCGTGGGGAGACGACTATCAAGAGTCCAATGGCAGAGTGGCGGAGCGGAAGCAGCTTCAATTGAAGGCCATACACAGGCCTAGGTTAAAAAGTCCCCCAGCAGTCAGTGTGGGGAGACGACTATCAAGAGTCCAATGGCTGAGTGGCGATCCGGGAAGTCAGCGATTTTGTGATTGCAGATGCAATGCAGAAATTTTTATGAGGATAAAATGCCGTGGTGTGCCGAAGAAGATCATATACCGTTCGTACTTCCATCCTTAAGACGGAACAACCTGCGAAACCGGGAGCTTTATTGCCCTGACCCGCTGAGCAGCAGTCTGGGATACCCAAGAGTTTGGCTTCTGTGGGGAATATGGTTGAAAACTGAAACTTAAAGGCATGTTGACGGAAGGGCAACCAGTGTCAGTGCTCCGGAGGGCTATATTAGCTTACAAAAGCGTGACACTCCTAAAGGTATATCGACGGTCAGACTGAGACCACTATAAGGAAGTGGAGCTTGCGTCTTAAATCGAGGCTGACAAAATGTGGCAGACGTGAAACGTCTACAGTTGGCCAAAATGTATATGAAGACGGGTTGTTCCTCTTTCTGGAATTCAGTGTTGGACTAAAATGACATCCACTCAGTTTATGGTGTTGGTTTTGTTGCACAATGATTTAATTCCGATAACGGACTCAGGTACTCCATCTCGTGCAATCTAGTTACCTACGAGACCCTGGGGCAGGTCTGGGTCCAATTGTGGTAGAGACTGGTTTTGTTCAGCCATGCTTGAGGGCGAGAATGGTCCAGGAAAAGTAATAACAGGGTCTGTGCTGCCCTTTGGTGTCTGGCTTAAGCCGCACAAACACTGAACGTCACCAGCATTTGTCAACGATTTGCCATTAAGTGATGCAAACCCGCTGAACCACGTTCATGAGGAGCCGGTTACAGGGGGCCATGAATCAGTATGGACCTGGCAGCAGTGTGAGGAGACCCGAAAGTGGCACATGGCCTCCGCAGGGTGGCGTGTGGAGGCAGCAGTATTCGGAAGACAAACACAGGACTAGTTTAAAAAGCGGAAGCCGTCAGCAGCGTGAGCAGACGACAGAGGCACATGGCGCAGGGTGGCGGTGGTGGGCAGCAGTATTCGGAAGCCATACACAGGCCTAGGTTAAAAGCTAGCAAGGATAGCCGATTCAGCAGCAGAGTGAGCAGACTGATGAGTCCAGAGGCACATGGGAGCTTGGGTGGCGGTGGAGGCAGCAGTATTCGGAGCCATACACAGCCCTAGTTTAAACTGGAACCAGCAGCAGTGAGCAGACGACAAATACGCACATGGCAGAGGATGGATCTGGCAGCAGTATGAGAAGGCGGTACTGGGGCAACTGGGGCCTGTGTGGCACATGTGTGGTGATGGGGGCTACAGCAACTGGATGCCAGTGTCAAGTGGCACGATAGGGCTATATACTGCATGGAATTATAAAGTTGTAAAGACAGCGGCCTATAAGGCTATACACACTATAACAATCATGACTTGATTGACCATTGGCCTATAAGGCTATACACAGCATGAATATCATGACTTATTCTGAGAGTGGTTTGGAAGGCTATATACAAAAAGTAATTCATGAGCTGTCCGGACAGCGGACAATAAGTACATATATACAAATCAATTCATCAGCCTGTCCAGCCAGCGGCCTCAAAGGCGACACATATAGCCAAAAGCAATTCATGAGCTGTTCAGACAACGGCCCTCTAAGGCGACAGATATACAAAGCAATTCCCGAGGTGTTCAGGGGAGCGGCCTGAACGGCTAGGTTATTACTAAATATATTTTTGTGGCCAAACATCGGCCTATAAATAGATGTCTACACAGTGACAAAAAATTATGTCGCCAGACAGCGGCCCCTAAGGCGACAGATATACAAAGCAATTCCCGAGGTGTTCCAGTGAGCGGCTTGAACGGCTAGGTTATTACTAAATATATCTTTCTGGCCAAACATCGGCCTATAAATAGATGTCTACACAGTGACAAAAAAGTAGTCGCCTTACAGCGGCGTATCCTACAAATTGACATTATAAGGAATGGTTTAGACCAAAAAAAAAAAAAAACTTTGATGCGATGCTATAACCTTAGTAGATTGTGGAAAGTCGACAAGTCAAGCGTAACTGTGTACATTACAGAAAATCTTAACAAGACAACCAAACATGTGGCCAAACCGTGACCGATACAACAAGTTAACAATGTAAGAAACAGGAGGGGGCCAAACCGTGGCCAATAAATAAAACAAGTCCACCCATTGGATGAGATGGAACAAACACGTGTCAAATAAATATATTTTAAAAAAATTGCTATTCCATCGGTCTGGAACTGGTCGACTATAAAATAATTAAAAAGTTTAAAATTCATGTGACAGTCGTCCAGCGACGTATAAATAATTTAAAATCACCAATTCATGAGGGGCCCGACCAGCAGAGTATAAGTCATTAAAAAGGTTCAATTCATGTGACGGTCGTCCAGCGAAGTATAAATAATTGAAAAACCCCAATTCATGAGGGGCCCCCGACCTGCAGAGTATTATGTCATTAAAATGTGCAAAACATGAGTCGGCCGACCAGCAGCCTCTCAATAAAATATATATACAAATGTACGGATCAGGTGGAGGTCTATCCATTTGTCCCTTAATAACATGTTTGGGGCATGATTCATGGCGGATTTAGTCAGTTGTGTCAGGAACTGGTGGTTTGAAATCCAGGACTAATCCCACGCCTGATTCATTTTCACAAACGTGAGTCTCTCCACACTTTGGGTGGACAGTCGTGTCCTCCGCGAGTTACAATACCTCCTGCCGCACTATAACACGCGCTCCGATTGCCACGGCTACTCTGGCCGGGCATGACAGCCTTTCAAGGGGCAAATTCAGCTACTTGGGGCCAAAGGTCAAGTTTCGTTGCCAGTAGTCAAGGGGATTGTCTACCTCGGTTGGCAGGGTGCTGTCCAAGTAGGCCAAGCCTGTTGTTTGAGGTCCTGCTCCAGGTCCACCTGATGCTGCTGCTGCTGCGGCTGGTTAGTAGTTTCCTCACTGCGCTGGTGAAGAAAGCTACTCATCATCAACTGCAGACTGAGGCAGCCGCTGCTGGTGGAGCTGCCACTGCTCCTACCACCCCACCCCTCCCCTGCTGCCATTGGCAGCCGGAACGCGAGCGCACAGGGCCCACAGTGTCTGAGGATGGACGTTGGCGCAGAAAGGCAGAGACCAACTGACTACATAGGTGGTTTTTTATAGTACTTTATTTTGGCCTCCCTCTCAGCAGGTGTGAAAAGGCCACCATTTTTGAAACGGTAGCGAGGGTCCAACAAGGTGGACAGCCAAAAGTCATCCCTCTGTCTGATGGTTATTATTCGGCTGTCGCTACGCAAGCAACCGAGCATGCTATGGGCCATTTGTGTCAAGGAATGCGAGGGACTCCCTGCCTCCATCTCCACAGCCTACTGCCACGGTGCGTCTGGGTCCTCTG